GGCATACCAGTGCGATCCGGGAGCAACCCACCCCTGGTTCAACTCCAGGCAAATCCTATCTCCTAACATAAGATGTGTTATCCTGGTGTTCAGTTGACTCCCAGAATGAAGAGAGATCATGTATTGGGATTGATCCTCATGTCCTATTTGCTATGGCATGAGGACACCCCACTAGCCATTTTTAGAATACATGTCATGACAAGGTGTTCTGCATCTCATTGTATAATAATATGTTTTAGATTTAGATCTGGAGATTTAAAAAGCTTTTGCACATGCACACACTTTTTCTGAACAAAAAGTCTGTTCAGAAATCTGGAAAGTCCATTCAGTTTTTAAAATGTTTAGAAATTTGACTCAGATTAAGGCTGATTCACACCTCTCTAATTACATTTTTCATGGGAACCTCACCAAAGCAATTAATGATCACAGGGTTGTTGTTGTAGGGAAAATAGGAAGAGGAAGGGATATTAGGGATCCCTTTGAGTTATCTGTAAACAATAAAGGTGGAATAAAGATCAAACAAACAATAAATAAATAAAATTGATGTCTGAGGAATAGTGTGACATTTTTAATGTATATTTTATAAATATGAAATTTTATGTAATAATCACCGCAGTTTATGAACATGAAAAGGATGCCATTGCTATAAGATTTACCTTGGTTATTCTGATTTTCTTTTTAGATTATTTTAGATAAATTTATAAACTATACATAAATTGTGTGAGTATATGTGTTGATGAGTCAAAGTGTATCAAAATTAAGGCTCTGTAAGACAACAGACATTTTAAAGGAGAGCATCACATTAGAATTTACCAACATCAGAGGAAATGTCACTATACTTTGGAATGTTCAAAGGTCTTACATCAAATGAGTAAGTGTTTATGGGGGTGGGGGAGAGAAATGGCAACCAATAATAACATTTAATGCAATTTATAAAGGGAATACAAATGGAAAAATATATGAAACTACAAAGAAATATCTAACAGAGAATAAGTTTAAGGTATAGGTTCTCAAGTCTATTTTCTCATCAATTAAAAAAGGTTATTTTTACTGGTTTGTCTGTTCATATCATAGCTAACATTTAATCACAGAATAGCTATGAAGCTATCACCAATTAAAGAGGTCCCTTGGCTGGTATCCTTGAGAGACAATATGATCTTCTAAATAAATATCCCTCAGTATTTTCCAAACCGCATTTCTAATGTAATTGTGTCCATGTAGAATTTGTTTTCCTGAACTTCATTTGGCAAATTAATTCTGGGTTCAGGAAGCATCACAATTTGATGTTCTGAATGTATATAATTCCAGAATCTACAAGCAGAATTGCTGCAACGTATCAGAAGTACCATCAAAAATCAACATTGGTTTTTGTTGAAGAGACTGATCTCCAGATAGATCCAGCTTGATTCTAAACAGGGGAAAAAGAAGGAAAATAAACCTATCTTCACACTTCCTTATATGACTACAGGTTTGTAAGGGGAGTGAATATTAAATATTATGAGTTAACAAATACAATTTAAAAAAAGAAGATAGGTATTTTATAAGTCTATGATGTATCTGAGGGAGAGTAGACTTATATTGTGGAATAAAGTTGAAATTCACAGGGATAGAAGTGAAATTATGCATTTAAGTATAAATGAAAGAATTACAATTTATGCCAGAATATATGAATTTGTATCATCTAGGTTTCTGTGAGTGTGTAAGAGTAGAGATATATAGGTGGATGCGGTGGCTGGCTAAGATGCTGAGCTTGCTGATCAGAAGGTTGGCAGTTTGGCGCTTAGAATCCCTAGTGCCACAAAATGGAATGAGCTCCTGTTACTTGTCCCAGCTTCTGCCAACCTAGCAGTTCAAAGGCATGTAACAAAATACAAGTAGAAAAATAGGAAGCACCTTTGGTGGGAAGTAACAGCATTCCATGCACCTTCAGCATTTAGTCATGCCAGCCACATGGCCACGGAGACTTCTTTGGACAGCGCTGGCTCTTCAGGTTTGAAACTGAGATGAGCACCACCCCCTAGAGTTGGGAACGACTAGCACAGATGTGCGAGGGGAACCATTATCTTTTAAGAGTATAGAAATCCACAGGTTGACACAGGTTTGTCTAGTATAATCTGTTCTCAACAAACCAATGTGGCTTCTAATAATCACTTTATTTCTTGACAAATCTGCTGCTTCCCCCCCCACCCAAGTAATGATGTTAAACTGATTAGTCTGAGGTTTTCTGGATCCACTTTTATCCCTTTTTGAAGATAGGAACTACATCAGCTCTTTTCCAGCTCTTTATGTTCCGTGTTTCAGGAGCTGTGTAAGATTATGTTCAGTGGTATCTCACATCTGCTCCTTAAATATCCAGGGATGTAAATCATCTGTTCCAGGAGTTTGAACTCATTTAAAACAGATAGGTGTTCCACAGTGCTGCTTTTGATAGGTTGGACTATTTTTCCTTTTGCATGAAGATAGGTGCAAAGAAAGAGTTCTGTTTTCTCCCTACTGCCCATCACTTTCTTGCTATCTTCTTTCCTTAATGGACTGAAAATTTCCTTGACTTTCTTCTTGTTCTTTACATATTGAAAAAAAACCTTGTTGTTATTTTTGACATTTATTACAAGTTTTAGTTCATTCTGTGTCTTAGCCTTTCTGACTCCTTTCTCGCAGATTCAGGCTAACACCCCTCTTCCCATTTTTATACTTTTCTTTTTGTTCCTCAGTTTGTCAGTCTCTCTCTCCCTCTCTCTCTCTCTCTCTCTCTCTCTCTCTCCCTCTCCCTCTCCCTCTCCTCTCCTCTCCTCTGTATCCCTCCCTCCCTCCCTCATTCACTCACTCACTCATTCTGATGTATTGCTTTTGTTTTGGGCCTTTATTATCTCATTTTTCAGAGTTTCCCAACCATCCTAAACAGTTTCCCCCCCTGGAATTTCCATCCATGGAAACCTTTCTATTCTCTCTTTCTTTGTGGAAGTCAATTCTGATAAAGTCTAAAACACTAATTTGACTGGTTGTCTGTGCTTGCATTAAGATGAATTCTAGTATGACATGTTCATTTACCTCCAAAGTTCCTACCACTGAAATGTCAAACATCAAGAATCCTAAAAAGAAAAAAAATGTAATAGTTCTTGAGAAGAAAGTAAGTTCCACTAGGCAGAAACAGAAGAAACTGAAGTTTTCAATTTTTCCTTATCCAAATATTAATTGCACTGTTAGGACATAATCAAACATACGTAGGTGTATTTTCCCCCAACATTTTTGTGTGCGGTTTTAAGGAAAATGTTTAATTTTTGCAATTTGCATGTTAAAGTTTCTGAAGTATAGGACTTGGAGAATTTATGCTAATCTGATGAAATAACTGCAGTATTTTTTTTAACAGTTAATGCTAATATTTCATGGAGAAAGAAAAACATACTACGGTGATGAATTTTATCCTTTTGGGATTCACAGACAACCAAAACCTACAACTGATTCTATTTGTAACATTTCTATTAATATATATAGCCAGCCTCACAGGGAACATCACATTAATGACACTTATTTATGGCAGCCCTAACCTCCATACACCTATGTATTTTTTCATTGGAAACTTATCTTTCCTGGATCTCTGGTATTCTTCTGTCTATTCCCCAAAGATCCTGGTAAATAGCATCTGTGAAGACAAGAGCATTTCCTTTGGAGGTTGTGCTGCTCAGTTCTTCTTCTCTGCTGGCCTTGCTTACAGTGAATGCTATCTCCTTGCAGCCATGGCCTATGACCGATACATGGCCATTTCAAACCCACTGCTGTATGCCACTCACATGTCCAGAAAGCTATGCACAGGACTGGTGACACTCTCATATGTCAGTGGTTTCATCAATGCTACAATAATAACCATCAAAACCTTCACGTTGAGCTTCTGTAATGGAAATGTAATTGATGACTTCTTCTGTGACCTACCTCCATTAGTCAAACTTTCTTGTAATGTGCCTGAGAGCTACCAATCAGTGCTGTTCTTCATTCTTGTCTCTAATGTAATTATACCCCTGGCACTTATTCTTGCTTCATATGTCCTCATCCTGGCAGCCATCTTGAAGATACGTTCCACTGAAGGGAGACTGAAGGCCTTCTCAACCTGTGCCTCTCACTTAACTGCTGTCACTTTGTATTATGGCTCCATCCTCTTCATCTACTCACGCCCAAGTTCCAGCTATGCTTTGAAGAGAGACAAAGTTGTATCTGTCTTCTATACAGTTGTGATCCCTATGATCAATCCTCTCATCTATAGTCTCAGGAATGAGGAGGTAAAGAAAGCTCTGAAAAAGAAAGCAATGAAGTGGAAGATGCCCTAAGTAATTACAAATGAAAATGTGCTTGTATTTTATTACCCTGAAAATATTAATATAGTTTAGGCTGCATTTACATATAGATTTATTCTCAGAAAATCTTTTGCAAAATGTTCCTTTTACATTAATTGCTTTTTCTTTTCCTTTTTTCAGTTTTTCTTTTCTTTTTCTTATTCCCTTCTCAGAAAATAATAATAAAAAAATTCAAATAATCTGTTCTCACATTGAGTTATCTTGATCCATTCCAGTCAGGCTTCAGGCCTGGCTACAGCACAGAAACCACTTTGGTCGCATTGACCGATGAT